TACTGGACCTGGTTTGCAAGTTTGAAGACGTTTTGCTTCCCATCCAGGAAGCTTTTTCAAGTCATTCATTTTTATCTGAATGCATTGCTGGAAGGAGGAAGCTGAGGGATTTTTGGTTTATGTTGCTGTTATCTGCAGTGTGACCATTAGATGCCGCTAAAAATCACACACTGTAGCTTCACTTGTATGTGACTGATTGATGTGACTGAATTGCCTCTTTAGTGCCTCGAGATGACATGCGTTGATATAAATAAATAAATTAAATTAAATTACATTTGATAAACTAAACGGTTTTTCCAAATAGGAGAACATGTTTGCAGCAGGATGTTTTCTTTTAACTTTTTCAACACATTATTGTGTTTCCTTTCCAGATGGGAGAACAATACAAAAAAAAAGTAAAACACTTCAAAGAGATCCTTGTGAAGAAACTAAGGTAAATAAAAAATCTTTTGATGCCAACTATTTTATATGCTTGAAGTTTAAGATATATTATTTTTCAAATGAGGTACTTAAGTAATATGATGTAAGATAATAAAGTGTGAATAACTTGTGAAATGGCAAACTAATAATGACTTTCTTTCAATTCATTTTCTCAGGCGTGTTGAAAAACCAGATCACAAAGTGAAAGAGGTAATGCCGTTTAAATGCTTTATAACCAGCTGTTAATCCAGAGATTGGATTATATGACCGACTAATATCTTTTGTATCTTTTTTCAGAAAAGATCAGTCAAAGAGGATGCACCGGTGGAAGATGGGTAAATTACTTCAGATCTTATTGATAAAGACATGAAACAATAATTCAGTCTAATAAACAATACACTGCAAAAATAAGCTTCCTCTGCAAGCGGCTGTAAAATTATAATCTTGATGAAAACAAACTTTAATAAATAAGAAATAACAAACTGGGTCAATAACAGAAGGGATTCCAGGGTTCTGTTTCATGAAGCAGGTTAACTGAAAACTCTACGTTTTCTGAACCTGAAAACAGGGAGACTCTGACTTTTCCGTTTCTGTTGCCATAGTAACATCCTCCCAGAGCTAACCTGGTCAGCAGCAGGTTTTCTTCCTCTGTCTCCGCTCTCCTTACAGCCAACCATGCTGTTTTATTTCCTGATTTGGTCAGATCTTTGTCATAGTTTTGTGTATAAAAAACATATAATTAACTGGGTGTGTTACACATATCCGGTTTAAAAAGTAAACATTGCGTGTCCGTTTGACAAGGATATTATTAAAGAATGATCGGCACTTTTTCACAGGGAATCAAATATTTATATGGAGAGGAGAAATTACCAGGATCAAACCATCTTAAAAGTTTTTATATCTGCATATTTTAGATAAATAACAGCAATGGAATAAAAGGGTTTAAATAAAAAAAAATAATGTCCTAATGTTAACAGAAATCTGTCTTTTTCAGTGTTACAGTGGACCATGATGTGGTTTTGGAAATTCCCAACGTTGACTATACACAACAATATGTTGAAGGCGTTGACGACATAGTAGAGGTCCTGGATGAGATGAAATCGTGTTCAGGTAATACTGAGAGTCTTTCTCAAAGAAATCACAAATCAAATTGAATCTTCACTGCCTCATGTTTTCCTGTTGAGATCAAATATGTTTTTTCTTTCTCCTCTGACAGATTGTGAGCTTAAGGTTTCCAACAGCGTTACTGACAAAACTGAATTTAATGCGACAGGTAAGGGTTAAATTACTCTACAAACAAACTATTAATCCCTCAGAGTTATCACAGAATAAGAGTGTTTAGCTGACCGTAGAGGAATGTACCCTAACTTCCCATCACTTGGAACGAGTCACATTCTGCAGCAAAGTAAATATTTAGGAAAGATTATTTTGGACACATAATGGATTTTGAATGATTATAAAATGTCTGTGAAAGTTATGAGCTAAAATAATATTGATCTGTGATTCTAATGACTCCTAGCTGCAGTCTTTCTGTCTGTGTTTTCTCCCAATGCTAAAATCTTGTGTCTTTGTTTCTTCAGCTGAATGTATGAAAAGAGTTAACGACGACGATTTAGCCCAATATTTCACTCCGACAACGTTGGGGAATGGATCCTTAGCTTGTCTAACCAGATGTGACGAAGACAACCATCCTGAACCTCTTATATGCAAAAATAAGGGAATGTGTACGCTCTACACAGACGTGGGAGAGGTCTGCAAGTACGTGGATTTATTTCTTTAACACTGGTTTCATTATTAAAGCTTTTTTATTCACTAGCTGACCATTAATATTGTTTTTTTATTTATATTCTAATCAGCTTAGAAGACATTTTATCCTTTTTCATTTATCGTTTTACAAATAATGTTTTAGTGCTGCAGAAATGAAGAATCTTAACTTACTAAGCTGTAGCTTATTGAGCATCAGAATAAACCGATTTATTTTCTCTCTCTACTTATCAGAATTGAAAATATGTCTCAAAGTGATGAAAAAAAATGCTTTCTCATTTTTCTCTTTCTCTCTTCGGAGAGAAAGAGACCTGTGGTCCTTTGCCGCATGTCCCTCCCCCTCTCTCATTCCCCCTTTTCTGTCAGCCTACTGTCAGAAAAACGAGCCACTAGTGCCATAAAAACTCAAAAAAGAAAAAAAAAACTGCTTCTCTGACGTCATCATGGGACATGTTCAGAGCAGTCAGGCTAACTATGATTAAACCACATTTATCTGCATTTTAGTTGTTTCTTTCTTTAGATTACGCACTATATACCATAATGATAAAACAAAAGGAAAACATAAAACACAAAAAGACTAGATTTATGTTTAAATCCAAAGCCCAAATAGTTAGCTCCTGGAAGTAGCGTAGCATCCCAATATTGTGCAAATCGGGAACAGAGTGGTAAGACAGAAAGGATTTTAATGCATTAATTTTCTCAGGAAATACATTATCAAAGTCATAGGAAATCATATTTAAATGTCAAATTATTCTGGCTTAAACATGTATGTAAATGTTATCAGACCATATTGTCCCAAAAGTTAGAAAATGTGTGTTTAAAAAAAAAATCCTGCCTTAAAATCTGTATTTTTCCGTTATCTTCTTCAGGCCAGTTAGTTCTACGTCAGCCTGAACAC